TATGTTTCCTATGTTTTCTTTTAGGAGTTTTACAGTATCAGGTTCTACATTTAAATCTTCAAACCATTTTGAGTTGATTTCTGCGTATGGGGTGAGATAAGAGTCTAATTTCATTCCTCTACATGTAGATATTCAGTTTTCCTAATGCCATTTATTGAAGAAACTGTTCTTTCCTCATTGTGTATTCTTGGCACCCTTGTCAAAAAAAAAAAGTGGATCATATATATGTGGATTTGTTTCTGGGCTCTCTATTCTACTCCATTGGTCTATGTCTGTCTTTATGCCAGTACCACACTGCTTTAATTACTATAGCTATGTAATATATTTTAAAATCAGTACATGTGAAATCTCCAGCTTTGAAAAACATACATTTGATCCAGAAGTTATATTTTTGGAAATATAACTTACGGATTAGGTGTACATATTTAAATTAAGGTTATTTGCTGCAGCACTATTGGAAAAAAATTCAAATACCCATCAGTAGAAGACTACCTAAGAAAATAATAGTATGCAAACACCACATGTTCTCACTCATATGTGGGACTTGAACAATGAGAACACATGAACACAGACAGGGAAACAACACACACCAAGGCCTGTTGAGGGGTTGGGAGTCGAGGGGAGGGAACTTAGAGGGCAGGTCAATAGGTGCAATAAACCACCATGGCACACATATACCTATGTAACAAACCTGCACATTCTGCACATGTATCACTTTTTTTTAGAAGGAATAAATTTTAAAAAAGAAAATAATGGTATGTCCATTTTATGAATACCACAAAACCATAAGAAAAGAATGAGGAATATTTCCTTGTACAAATATTTAAAAACTCCCAGATACACTGTTTATAAGTTTCAGATGCATTTATATAGTATGCTATAACTCACGTAAAAGGTAGAAATAAATGAGAACATACATATTATACTTGTATTTGCTTAAAGAAACTCTGAAAGAGGCTGAACACGGTGGCTCAGGCCTGTAATCCCAGCACTTTGGGAGACCTGGATTGGGCGAATCACATGAGGCCAGGAGTTCAAGATGAGCCTGGCCAACATGGTGAAACCACATCTCTACTAAAAATACAAATAGTAGCTGGGCATGGTGGCTCGTGCATGTAGTCTCAATTACTCAGATGCTGAGGCAGGAGAATCACTTGAACCTGGGAGGCAGAGAGTGCAGTGAGCTGAGATCGTGCCACTGCACTCCAGCCTGGACAACAGAGCAAGACTCTGTCTCAAAAAAAAAAAAAAAAAAAAAAAAAAAAAAAACTCTGAAAAAAATACAGGAAACTAAGAAAACCAAAAGAGAAAGGGGGAAAGTAGAAATGGAGAAAGGAATGAAATGAAACTTTTCACTTGTGTACTTTTTTATCTTCTTTTTCAAACTTGATGGAGACTCCCTTTGCACAAAAGTAAATTAAAAATTTAAGTAATTTTTCAAAGAAAATATATCTCTAATTAATGGTGTAGGAAGAATCAATATCATGAAAATGGCCATACTGCCCAAGGTAATGTATAGATTCAATGCCATCCCCATCAAGCTACCAATGACTTTCTTCACAGAATTGGGAAAAATTACTTTAAAATTCATATGGAATCAAAAAAGAGCCCACATTGCCAAGACAATCCTAAGACAAAAGAACAAAGCTGGAGGCATCATGCTACCTGACTTCAAACTATACTACAAAGCTATAGTAATCAAAACAGCATGGCACTGGTACCAAAACAGAGATATAGACCAATGAAACAGAACAGAGCCCTCAGAAATAATACCACACATCTACAACCATCTGATCTTTGACAAACCTGACAAAAACAAGAAATAGGGAAAGGATTCCCTATTTAATAAATGATGCTGGGATAACTGGCTAGCCATATGCAGAAAGCTGAAACTGGATCCCTTCCTTACACCTTATACAAAAATTAATTCAAGATGGATTAAAGACTAAAATCTTAAACCTAAAACCGTAAAATCCCTAGAAGAAAACCTAGGCAATACCATTCAGGACATAGGCATGGGCAAGGACTTCACGTCTAAAACACCAAAAGCAATGGCAACAAAAGCCAAAATAGACAAATAGGATCTAATTAAACTAAAGAGCTTCTGCACAGCAAAAGAAACTACCATCAGAGTGAACAGGCAACCTACAGAATGGGAGAAAATTTTTGCAATGTACTCGTCTGACAGAGGGCTAATATCCAGAATCTACAAAGAACTGAAACAAATTTACAAGAAAAAAACAAACAACCCCATCAAAAAGTGGGCAAAGGATATGAACAGACACTTCTCAAAAGAAGATATTTATGCAGCCAACAGACACATGAAAAATGCTCATCATCACTGGCCATCAGAGAAATGCAAATCAAAACCACAATGAGATACCATCTCACACCAGTTAGAATGGCGATCATTAAAAAGTCAGGAAACAACAAGTGCTAGAGAGGATGTGGGGAAATAGGAACACTTGTACACTGTTGGTGGGAGTGTAAACTAGTTCAACCATTGTGGAAGACAGTGTGGCGATTCCTCAAGGATCTAGATCTAGAAATATCATTTGACCCAGCCAACCCATTACTGGGTATATATACCCAAAGGATTATAAGTCATGTTGCTATAAAGACACATGCACACGTACATTTATTGCAGCACTATTCACAATAACAAAGACTTGGAACCAACCCAAATGCCCATCAATGATAGATTGGATAAAGAAAATGTGGCACATATACACTATGGAATACTATGCAGCCATAAAAAAGGATGAGTTCATGTCCTTTGCAGAGACATGGATGAAGCTGGAAACCATCATTCTCAGCAAACTATCACAAGGACAAAAAACCAAACACAGTATGTTCTCACTCATAGGTGGGAATTGAACAATGAGATCACTTGGACACAGGAAGGGCAACATCACACACTGGGGCCTGTCGTGGGGTGGGGGAGAGGAGGGAGGGATAGCATTAGGAGATATCCCTAATGTAAATGACGAGTTAATGGGTGCAGCACACCAACATGGCACATGTATACATATGTAACAAACCTGCACATTGTGCGCATGTACCCTAGAACTTAAAGTATAATTAATAAATAAATAAATTTAAGTAATTTTTCAAAGAAAGTATGTCTCTAATTAATGGTGTAGGATAATCTAAATACAAAAACAATGGAATAAATCATTTTAAAAACTGATTATCCTGGATCATTTTACATTGTGTGCATGTGTCAAAATATCACTCTATACCCCATAAATATGTACAATTATTACATGTCAACTAAAAATAAAAGGGGGAAAATAAAATATAAAACTTAAAACTGATAGATTTTACTATAAAGAAATGTAAGCTTTTAAACATTGAAAACTTTATAAATAAGGCTCAAAACCAATTAAATATGAAAACGTTCACCCTCACAAAAATTAAAAATGCAAACTAAACAACAGTAAGATGTCTTTCTAATTTACAAAACTTTATTTTTATTGTTATAGATTTAGGTTGTACAAATGTTGTTTTGTTTCATAGATATATTGCACAATGGTGAAGTCTGGGTTTTTAGTGTAGCCATCACCCAAATAGTGTACATGGTAACCATTAAATAATTTCTTATCTCTCACCCCTCCCCCATTATTAACTTTTTATTATAAAATGATTTGACTTACAAAAAGTTCCAATAAAGAACAAAGAATTCCTGTTTTCCCTTTATCCAGATTTCCCAAATATTGGTATTTTGCCATGTTTGCTTTATCCTTCATTCTCTCAATAAATAGATATGTAGACAAACAGATGGGTAGAATTTTTCTGATACAGTGGAAGTGTGGAGAAGTAGGTCAAAGGATGCAAACTTGTACTTATGTAGAATAAATAAGTCTAGAGATCTAACGTGCAACATAAGCACTTTAGTAAATAATATAGTATTGTGCGATGCAAATTTGTTGAGGTAGATTTGAGGTAATCTTACCGTAAAAGAAAAAGCAAACTCTGCAAAGTGATAGGTATGTTAATTTGCTTGACTAATAATTTCATTGTGTATCATGTAGGTATATCAAAACAGTATGTTGCTCACCTTAAAGATACACAATAAAAATGATAATTTTTCTGAAATGTTTGAAAGCTGCAAACATCATGTCCCTTTATCTCTAGATATCTCAATAAGCAATTCCCTAATCCAAGAACATTGAGACAAACACAGTACAATGATCAAACTCAGGAAATTAACACTCATGTAATTTTATTATCTCATTTACAGTGTTTTGTCCCACAAATGTCCTTTATCTAATATCCAAGACCCAATCCAGGATCACATGTTGCCTTTACTTGTCACCTATTTTTTATCTTGAGTAATTCTTCCTTCTTTCTTTATCTTTACACATGTGAAGACTGAAGGACAGTAATTTTGCAGAATGTTCTTTGTTTGGGCTTTCCTTGTGTTTTTTTATGATTAGACTCAGGTTATATATTCTTGGTAAGAATAGCACAATAATGATATTGTGTGTCTCTCCCATGTACCATATCAAGAGGCACATGGCATCAATGGGTCTCATTTCTGGTGATATTAACTTTGGGCAATTGTTTAGAGGGGAGGGGCTATAAAGTTACATTTTTCTATTTGTAATTAACACCCCTAGGTATCCTGAGGAAAGATAGTTTGAAACAATGTAAAATCGTATTTCTTATCCCAAAAAAAAGTGTTTAATGACAGGATTCTATTCTGTCAAGAGCACTTTCACAAGATAGGTGACTCAGTGTCACACTGTGCACTAAAGGTCTTTACACTCGAACACTAAATTCACTCTAGGAAATAAGCCTAAAAGAAAGTCAGAAGTATGGTTGAAGATGTCTGTTCAAGAATATTTACTACAGTGTTGTTTATGGTGGTAAAAAAGTTAGTACTTCCACAAAAGGAAATATTACTCAAATTATGAAAATGAACTTTTTAAAGAGAGAGGCCAGGTAGAATAATCTGGAACTAACAGGTCCTGTGAACTTTCTTTCCTTCAACCTATTCTGCTCCTTCGGTTTGGACTCAACAGTCATTCTAAACCCAAGTATCGATAACAAGACTCAGCCTCTATTTCTCATTTAGTCTCAGTGTCCTAATCCACAGCCTCTTCATGGCCTTCTTCATTTCAGCATTTCTCAGGGAGTAGATGACAGGGTTCAGGAAGGGGGTTATCACTGTGTAGAACACAGCCACCACCTTGTCTATAGGCAGAGTGGTAGAGGGCCTCAGGTAGATGAAGATGCAGGGTCCAAAGAACAAGATAACCACGGTGACATGGGACCCACAGGTGGAGAGGGCTTTGCGCCGCCCCTCAGAGCTCTGGGTTCTCAGATGGAGCAAGATGACCATATAGGATGCTAAGAGGACCCCAAAACTGACCACAGACAGGGTGCCTCCATTGGCAACAATCAGCAGACCAATGAGGAAGGTGTCAAAGCAGGCAAGTTTGAGAAGGGGAAGCAGGTCACAGAAATAGTGGTTGATCACATTGGGGCCACAGAAGGGCAAGTGGAAGACGAGAAGGATTTGGGCAAATGAATGCACAAAGCCTCCCACCCATGCTGTTCCTACAAGGACAGCACACACCTGCCGGTTCATGACGGTGGCGTAGCTGAGGGGCTTGCAGATGGCCACATAGCGGTCATAGGCCATCACAGTGAGCAGGAAAATCTCAGTGCCACCAAAGAAGTGCAAGAAGAAAAGCTGCGCCATGCAGCCCCACCAAGACATGGCTTTCCTTTCAGCCAGCAGATCCAAGATGAGCTTGGGGGCTGTAGTGGAAGAGTAGCAGATCTCCACGAAGGAGAGGCAGCTGAGGAAGAAGTACATGGGGGAACCAAGGCTTCTGCTGGTTGTGACAGTGAGCACAATGAGGAAATTCCCCAGCACAATTGCTGTGTACAAGAACAGAAATATCAAAAAGCAAACCCTCTGCACCTCCTGGTTGGGAGAAAGTCCCAGAAAAATGAATTCAGTCACATTGTGTATGTTAGTCATGAGGTTGTCACCAAAAGGCAGCAATTTGGGTGGTGTGATCTGAAATGATACAAAAGACTTCTTCACTGAGTGGGTGAATTACATGAAGGCCCTTGCATAGCTGAGATGCCTGTGAGCTGGAAATTGAAAGATGAGTAGGAGTTAGTTATGTGTAGAAGGGAAGAGCATTCCAAGAAGGCAGAGAGCATTTACAAATGCCTTGTGTGTGGCTGGAATAAAGGAGAGAATAGCAAAACCTAAAGCTGTAGATAGACATTAGTACCAATTTGTGAAGGACTGTTAGGGCCTTTGGGGACCCTAACAGTCCCAAAGTGTTTTTCCTTTTAGTTGATGAACATACTTGATGATTCCCCATTGTCTGCAGGATCAGACAAAGTCTGTAGTATACAGAACAAAAGTATGGAAAGGGCTGTCCAGTGGAAATAGATTAGAGGAGGAGCTCTATTAGGAAGTTAGTAAGTCCTGTCATTGGACAATGTGGAACAGCCAGGATAGTGTTACTGTCTCCATGTTAGATGTCTTTCTATTGCCTTTGAGTGTTTCAAATTATCTTCTGGCTACGGCTTTCCTTCATGCCACTTCCTTCTTTTTTTTTTTTTTTTTTTTTTTTTTTTGAGACAGGGACTCACTTTGTCACCCAGGCTGGAGTGCAGTGGTGTAATCTCGGCTCACTGCAGCCTTCCCCCAGCTCAAGCAATCCTCCCACCTCAGCCTCCTGAATAATAGGACTACAGGCATGTGCCACCATGCTTTGCTAATTTTTATATTTTTTTTAGAGACAGGGTTTCACCATGTTGCCCAGGCTGGTCTCAAGCTCCTGAGCTGAAGCAGTCCACCCACTTCGGCCTCCCCAAGTGTGGGATTACAGGCATGAGCCACTGCTCCCGGCCTTCTTTTCTATCTTTGGTTTGCAGAACAGTGTCCTCAACCTCTCCGCATACTATTCAGAGTCTTTAGAAGAGATCTCCCTGGTGGACCTCCTTTGACAATCAACATCTCTTATTTCTGCTTCTCCCTCTAATTCTCACATTCTACACTGGGTCACTTGGTGAGCTTGTCCCCTTCCAAGGGCCCAGCTCAACTCAATCCATGTACAGTTCTCCTCTTTACTGGCGCTTTCACTTTCTCCAATCACATCCTCCAGTAGCAACAAAGGTCCAATACCCCCCTACACACACACACACACACACACACACACACACACCCCAGTGCCCCCTCATGCTCTGACACATCCTTCTCCATAGCCAGGCTTTCAACACCTCAGGGCATCACTGAGACTGCCCACTGACTGATTGGCAGGCTGTCCCAGTCCACGCTGAACTCCGTCCAAGGTGGCTGAGGTTTTGTATATCCACATAGCCTCTCCTACAGTAACACTCCAGGCCACCTGAGCCTGGGAGCCAGATCATTTCCACTCACACCACAAAGCTTCCTTGCTTCCGTGATTGGGACAATCTCAGGTGATTAAAGACCACCATGAACCAGAAGGAAATCACTGATAGAACGTATAGTTACAGAAACAGGCCGGGCGCGGTGGCTCACGCCTGTAATCCCAGCACTTTGGGAGGCCGAGACGGGCGGATCACGAGGTCAGGAGATCGAGACGATCCTGGCTAACACGGTGAAACCCCGTCTCTACTAAAAAATACAAAAAAAAAACTAGCCGGGCGAGGTGGCGGGCGCCTGTAGTCCCAGCTACTCGGGAGGCTGAGGCAGGAGAATGGCGGGAACCCGGGAGGCAGAGCTTGCAGTGAGCTGAGATCCGGCCACTGCACTCCAGCCTGGGTGACAGAGCGAGACTCCGTCTAAAAAAAAAAAAAAAAAGAAAGAAAAAAGAACATATAGTTACAGAAACAAAGGAAGGACAGACGCCAGCCCCACACTCTCAGATCAGCTGGGCAACTTTACCAAGAAGCTGCTCACGGAAGAGAGGACTAACAGTCTGGACTCCTGGATTTACAGTCGTATTTTTCAGGGAGTGTTTGTATAAGATCTAGAAAGTTCTTTAACCTCTCAGAGACTCAAGGTCCAAACTGTAACATGCAGATAATGCCTGCCTCACAGATAGGTGCCATAAATCCCACTCCCAGTTCCATCCCAGGATAAGTTAAGGGCCAGTCCTATGTCCTGCCCTGGATTCCTCTCCAAGCCATCTCCCCAGTTTGCAGGCCGCCTCTGGTCATCGACCCCTCTTCTCTCAGGACATTTTGGGATCCCAGCACTTACCACACTGAATTATCATTGTTTTTGTGTGGCCATCCGCCCACTGGAGTGTGGGTTTCCTTAGGGCAGAGATGACCATTGCCCACCACCCCACCTCTGACGCTTACTGCAGTGCCAGCCATGCAATAGCATTCAGTGAATGTAGATAGGATGAATACTACTGGCTATGTATCTTCCCAGCCTTCTCAGCACAGTGTTTGGTAAGTTGGTGTTCAGTAAATATTGAGGAAGAAAGTTCCCCAGAGACTAACACCACACCTTCTCCATCTCTGAATCCCAGAGCCTAGCACTTGTGTTTGCCTCAAAGACCAGACAGACGTGGAAGCCCTTTGTCATGTGCTGTACACTTCCTGGAACCATTCTCTTTACTTTCAAGGCGGAATCAATCATTACTACAAAAGAAGTCCATGGTCACAAAGCAAAACTCACCCCAGTGTTTTCTGTGGCTTCGCCGTTCTCACCAGTTGCCTGTTCTCTTCTAACCACGGAGAGGTAAATAACACCCTGAGAACAGCCCTAGGCTCACACAGGTTTCCCCATTAGCCAATCAAGAAGCATTACAAATGGTCACACTACCAGCCAGAGCTCCTGCCTCACTGGAGTCCCAAAACAGAGAGGATCTGCTCCCCCGCACCCTCAGGCTTGGAAATGTTGAGAAATGCTACGCCACTGGGGTTTCAATTACACCTAATGTACAACAAGAGCAAAGTAGACTTGCCCCCCAAGATGTTCCACAGAGAACTTAGAGCCTGGCAGCTCAGCCCTGAGTTCACACTGCTTAAAAGACACCAGGGGAGGAGGCATGTGATCAGGTGAGAGAAGTTCGGTTCCCAGAGAGCCGCACCCTTTCCCCTTCCTAATCAGGCCGACCACCTCATGGGAAGCAGGACCTGAAATTCCTTGTAGGAAACAACTTGCAGAAAACAACTCATACTTGTAGGAAAATTTCAAACTTCCTTGTAGGAAACAAGTTCAGAAACCAGTAGGAATTGTGAACAAATTCAATTCACCCCATGTTTGCACTTACTCTGCATGGGGCTGTTCAGAAGTCCATGAACGACCGCCCCTGCTTATCAAGAACTCAGTCATGTGGCCTTACATAAAGTGGCACTATTCAGAATAGTGGCCCACGGAATAGAGACCACAAGTGTCAGCAAACTGAAATAGCACTTCTCTGTGTCTTTGGTGTGAATGAGTTATGGATCAGTGGTTCTCTACCGGGGGCAATTTTGCTCCCAGAGGACATTCGACAAGGTCTGGGAACATTTTCCATTGTCACACCCTGGCTGGGAAAGGAGTGCTACTTACATCTAAGTGGGTAGAAGCCAGGGATGCTGTGAAACCCCCTACAATGCACAGGACAGTCCCCCCAAACAAAGAATTATCTCATTCAATGAGTCAATAGTGCTGCTGTTGATATACTCTCGTTTAGGTGAAACAAAAGTTGCCCTGAATTAATAATCATTGAAATTGGGTGTTGAGTACATGGGAGTTCATTACACTGCTTTGATCACACCTGTATATATTTTAAATTTTCTGTAATAAAAGGTTTAAAAATGGCATAAGAGCCCTTCTTAAAATGAAATGTGCCCTGTACTAGTGCTACTCACAAATATCAGTAACTCAGCCTTGATCGAAAGAGTTGAAACAAGATTCCACAAGTTCCAACTAATGATTGATAAGAAAACTATAATGAGATATTTTCAAATTTAAGAAAAGATTTGGCACGTTGCTTTTGAGCATGCAAACACTGAATTCAGCATTATCCTTTATAAAGAAACACAAGGAAAATTAGCAAATAATTACATAAAAGCCCCAAGTGCTTAAGTAGAACCTATATTTATTTTGTAACATGTCATCATGAAGTTGAGTTTCTGTGAAAGTCTGTCAGTCAAAATCTTTTCTACATTGAAATTTTGGTTTCATAAATCTAAGGAAAATCACTGTTAAGCATGAATCTATGAATGTTTGTTATAGGAAACTAAATTTGTTTAAACATTCTTGGTATGAAATGTATTTGTTCACCTAAGGTTATAAATTTTGCCATAAAAGGTTGATTTTGTTTCCTAACCTAGCAAAGATTAACCCATTGACTATGCTCTCATTTCTCCAGTTATAATTAAATCATGTTATTAGAAAGAAAGGACAGATCTGGCCAGGTGCGGTAGTTCAACCCTCTAATCCCAGCACTTTGGGAGGCCAAAGGTGGGCAGACTACCTGAGGTCAAGAGTTCGAGACCAGCCTGGCCAACATGGTGAAACCCTGTCTCTACTAAAAATACAAAAATTAGCCGGGCATGGTGGCACATACCTGGAATCCCAGCTACTCGGGAGGCTGAGGCAGGAGAATTGCTTGAGCCTGGCAGGGCAAAGGTTGCAGTGAGCCGAGATTGTGCCACCGCACTCCAGCCTGGCCAACAGAGCGAGACTCTGTCTCAAAAAAAAAAAAAAAAAAAAAAAAAAGAATACACAGATCCTTCTTTTAGAATTATATCTATATGCATTCCTCCATGTGAAAAGACACTTCTCAAAAGAAGACATACATGCGTCCAACAAATACATGAAAAAATGCTCATCATCACTAGTCATTACAGAAATGCAAATCAAAACCACAATGAGATACTATCTCATACTAGTCAAATGGTTATTACTAAAAAGTCAAAAAAAAGATGCTGGCAAGGTTACAGAAAAAAAGGGAACACTTATATACTGTTGGTGAGGATGTAAGTTAGTTCAGCCCACTGTGGAAAATAGTTTGGAGATTTATTAAATAACTTAAAACTATCATTCAACCCAGGAATCCCACTATTGGGTATATACCCAAAGGAAAATAAAGCTTTTTACCAAAAAGACACATGTACTTGTATGTTCATCACAGAGCTATTCAAAATAGCAAAGACATGGAATCAGTCAAAATGCCCATCAGTGGTAGACTGGATAAAGAAAATGTGGTACATATATACTATGGAATACTACACAGCCGTAAAAAAATAATGAAACTCTGTCCTTTGCAGCCACTGGATGCAGCTGGAGGCTGTTATCAGAAGAGAACTAACACAGGAACAGAAAACCAAATACCACATGTTCTTAATTATAAGTGGGAGCTAAACATTGAAAACAGTTGGACACAAAGATGGGCACAATAGATACTAGGGACTACTTGAGTGGGGAGTGTGGGTGGGGGTGTTGGTTGGAAGGCTACCTATTGGGCTCTGTGCTCACCACCTTGGTGATGGGATCATTCATATACCAAGCCTCGGTGACACGCCATTTACCCGTGTAACAAGCCCCAGCATGTCCCCCAGAACCTAAAATAAAAGTA